AACGTTGAATCATGGACTCAGGCAAAAGGCCTGTCTCTTTTCCACAGTCAAAAACTTCCTGCAAACTTCAATAGTGGTTGGTGGAAGAAAAGCTACAACCCAGACCTAACCTTTGTAAGTTATAAAGTACCCCCTAAAGCCACAAATAATGTTTGTAACCAAATACCTAATAAACAATAAACAACATCGAAGATTGATATTTAGTGTCACAGAAGTCGTGAGACCCTAAACCGTACCATGTAAAAGACGATTTAATTTTAGGAAAGTGAAGTGGAAAGACTTCACGGAAACTTCAGATAAGGAGATACATTATCTTGACCCAAAGCCGAAAACAATGAAAAAGTGGTAGAAAAACTCAAGTAAATTTCAAATCTACATTTTTCACGGGGATGTAGAGAACAGTACATAAGCTGAATGATAGAAAAACTTGCAAAATAAATAAGAATGGAAAATCATCAACTATTGACCCATTTAGAGAAGAAACCATAATGCTAGTAGAAACCTTTATTAATCACCTATGTAAAGATAGAAACAACAGGTTGCATGAACTCATTAAGATAGAAATAACTAAAAACCGGAAAAAACATGGCGACTTATCAAGAGGCTAACGCTGTGTCAAACGTGACGCGGGGGACGCGGTGAAAAACAAAACAGCTTGTATTTCGTCGACGAACAGCATGGTCTGAATAGAATTCACTCGCGTTCACCGTGAGCATGTAGGACATAGGCTAAATGGGAACCTGGTTACGCACACCAACAATTTAAACGTTACGGATAATCAATGAGCTACTCTTAAACTGTATATCAGGGGCAAAAATCAAAAGAGGAAAACTCATTGGAACCTAAGACAATGAGCAAAATAATTTCCAGCTTGCCTTAACGAAACAAAATATTTATTATGTGCAGATTACTTGGCCTTAGTAGCTCATGCCATAACCTTACAAACAGTCAAATCTACCAGATCACTTCAAGAATTAACAAATTTTTACATAAAAAACAAAATAGACCTACTACAGACAAAACACAAGTATGCAGCTTCCATCTCTAAAAGTACGAGGCAAAAAGAGAACTCAAAGTTGGATGGCTTGGAAAACCATTGACGAATACAGAACACTCAGTGTACCTAGGGGTTACACTGTACAGAACTCTTACGTTCAATGAACAGTGTCAGAAAACTAAAATGAAAGTTGAAGGAAGAAACCACTTAATACGGAAACTAGCAGGTAGCAAGTGGAGTACCACTTCAACCACAATCTGCACTACTAGACTAGCACTTTGCTTCTCCGCTGGTGAGTACTCTAGGAAGTATGGAACCTGTTTAAACATGCAAAACATGAATGCTACCTTCAGCGTGAAATTTAAGCCAATGCCACTTAAAAATATAAATCCATAAGCAGGGTTAGCTCCACCAAGAATACGGAGATATGTGGCCACATGCATAGAGAGAACCAAACAAACAATTTACCAAAGACACCCCATGCATGGTTACTCAGGACCAATGAGACTTAAATCTCAAAAAATTTTGAATGCCAACTCAATCATGGTCCACGATCCAAGATCCACCCAAACACGGATTACAAAAATGGAGAGAAGAGCTGCAATGTGAAGTAACTGCCCCACTTGCTGAGCATTTAGCATGTGGACGAAAACAACTATTGGTTATATGGAAAACATTAAAAACGACAAAACCGGAGTAGCTAAAACAAAAAGAACTAAATATAAACCGTGTATATGTAAAAGATCTATAGGTCACAAATGGTTCGGAACAGCAACAACGATGACTTGACTTTGTCAACAATACACATGAGATTTTAATTATATTCTGGGTTTGAAATTTTTACTTGACGTCCACCTTCATGGACTACTCCATGGACATTCAAAAAAGGCACAAATAGGCCAAATTGGTGGGAGTTATAGTGGCTGACGAAGAATTCAATTGCTTTTGCAGAGTAGCCCTATGTATATTTTGTGTTATTTTAATGGGGACCATATTTGCTAGATCAGCACTCATGTTTCCATTGGTTGGTGATGACACACATCAATGAAACGCAAGCAGTATGCAAGGACAAGCTGCATTTTTCCTAATGTTGTAAAATCCTTTGTGGTTCGTGGCTATTTGTAAGAAATAGCTCGAAATTTGAGTTTTGATCGAATTCTGGAAACGGCTCTACTGAAATTTCTAATGCTATTGAACTGGGCCACTGTGCTTCAGAATGACGTAGAAACTAGAACCCTGTCCAATGTAAATTATACGCTATTAATTCGTGAGAGAGCAGACCCCGATACGCCGGGTGAAGGGTATTTTCGTTCGAACTAACATGATTACACTCACAATGTGGAAGCTCCTTAATCACGGGGCTCGTGACAAAAACTTTAAAATCCTTTGCTTGTAACTTCAGTCAACTTAATAGAAGAAACAAACACACAAATATTTATTAAATTTGACTAAATTTTCAATCTATGCAACAACATGGGAACTAATAAAACATCCACTTGCAATTCCAGCCGTGGTATAGTCAAATAAGTGTCCATCTTCGATAATTTAAGTAGCTCAACTTTTGACTTACACGAAACAAAGTATTTTTGCAGCCTATCAGTTGAATGCTGTAAAGATAGATTAGTTATATAATAACTTCATTCAGTGGAAGTTTGTTTTAGATGGTAAACTTGTAGTGTTGCCTGACTAACCAATAAAGTTTTTGCATTGTTTCTTTAATCAGAATGTTTTGTGACGGACTTGGTGTTTTCTGTTTAGCAAAGAGTTAAGGTGTATTCTAAGATATTTAGCTAAATTTATTGCAGGATTATTGATAGATTTAGTACTATTTGGCTGTTTTTGGTTTTACGTAATGATTAACGTGTACCGATTTACGAAGAGAGACAAATGAACGTAGCCGTTTGGACGTGTGAACAATTTTACGTCAAAAAAAAATATATAAATTAAATAAATAATATCATTATAATAGATCATCATTAAAATATATTTAAAAAAATTGAAAATAAATAGTTCTGGTTTATGCTTATAAATTATAAAACTATTGATATTATATGTTCATAATATAACTTATGGAATCGTATAATATCGAACCTTCTAGAAATTATTATTTAATTTTACCTAGGTATTACCTATAGATTGAATTTTATCGTTTTGGCAATAGGTATTAGGTATTTTTGTTATTATTTTTTTTTGTTCATCGCGCTTCATTGAAACACGGCGATACCCGACAAAACACACTTATCGTGTTAGTCGTGTACAAATTACGTACAAGTGTACATATGCATGTAAAATGTCGATAATTAACTCAAATCGAAATGGTGAAGGTTTTTTGGATGACAGTTTTATGCACTTATTTGACGCTTTTAATTCTGATAGTTTAAAACGGTTTTGGCGATATAGGTATAAAAGAGAATGTAAGGCTCGTGTGCATACTGGTATAACAGACTTAATTATTCTTAAGCTTATAAACAATCATACTCAAGACTCTGACGCTGCTAAAGTTGAAGCAAATATCACAGTGTGTAATATTAAAAAACGCGCTAGAGAAACTATGAATCCAACGTCTACAGTGATAAATTAATGCATTTCTGTATTATCAGAAGCATCTAAGGTACTTATTAGAAACTGTCCTATTTTTTCTTAATTTTAGTTTCCGAGTTTAATTTTTATAACTTTATAGGGAGCCCTTCAGCGTGGTTCAGCATTAAAAAAAACAGTTCGAAGAAAACAAAATGAAATACACGCAGCACCAAATGCAAAAAATGATTTGATGACACTACAGACACCAGATATATACAAAGTTTATTCACCGTCCGAAGGTATATCGGAAGATTATTTAATAGACGACAGCGGACCTAGTGAAAACAGAATTTTAATTTTTGGAAGGCCTAGAAGGTTAGAAATATTACATATTTCAAAAGTTTGGTATTGCGATGGGACATTTAAAGTAGCACCAACACTTTTTTCAAGTTTATCAAAAATATTATAATAAATATAAATAACTTTTTAATTTTATTTACTGATTTAAAATTTGTATTATGTTTTTTGACGTCCAATTGTCCCCACGTCCAAAGGATTGTCCAGAAAAAGATTTTTTCAATTGACTTCTGAGAGCTGACTCTTGTGCATCGACAAAATTCGCTCAACATAGCTAACTTTACGTTGTCATGGTTTTAGGTATCAGCAATAAAGTAGGTACATGATAGGTTCTATAACATTACCTTGCTGTTCTCCAGCTGATGTGTCTTTCCATTCGGTGTATTGTATTCGTGTATATCTCGTAATTAGCGGTCGGCCAAGTATGATTCAAGACGTTTACACTTGGTGTGCAGTTTGGTGAGGAATTCTTTGTGCCAGACATTTTTAAAAGCTTGGAATACCTCAAGGAACTCTTCATAGAAGAAATTTTTGTTTTCAAGAACTTAAGTAATCACATTAGTAACTCGATAAACTTGATCGATTGTCGAATGTTTGTTACGAAATCTAAACTGAGACAATAATGTTTTCTCTATATTCAGTTTTAGGCGTATGAGCAGAAGTTTCTCTAATAGTTTGGGTAAACTTGGAAGGAGTGACATCAGCTGATATGATATGACATCTTCAAGTGGTCTACCTAGTTTGAGCAATTGAGAAATTCATAATCATTTTTCTTTTTATGTCTAAGATTTTAAAATTCATTACAATAAAAATCTTGTAAATCAGCAATCGTGTGTTAAATACCCTATGTGGTAGTTATTATTATAAGTAATAACCAATCGAAAACATGCACTTATATATTTATTCTTGCATAAATTGCAATATAAAGGTGCATTAAAAAAATTTTTTTATAGTTTTCTATATTTTGTTTAATAATCAAACATCAGATAACACACTTTTTATTATACTAATAATAAAGCTATGAACACAACGAATGCATAATGATCTCATAAAATAAAATTATTTTTTTGTTAATTCATTTGTTATTCTCAACAATGATAAAAAACAATTCAATGAAAAATTTAATAAAATAATAAAATAATCAATAGATCTATGATTATCAAGCTACAAATATTATTTATCTAAAATGTAATTTAAAAAAAGTTTTTATACCTAGGCAAATTCATCTTAATTACAACATTCCCATAGTTCGGAGAAAATTTAAAAGAAAAAAATTTAAAAGATTGTTAAAATTAAGTTAAATTATTAGGTACCTCCGTGTCTCTAATTTAAGCACTGGGTACAAGTTCACAGTACTGAGTACATTAATTGTATTATTGGTAGGTACAGTATTGAGCGTTATCTAGAACCTAGATAAATAGAAAGAGGTCACTTGTTATATTATCTTAAATAAATTATTATGTACGTCTTAATTTACAATATATCCCTAATTACATAAAAATCCATAGTTAAATTAACTTAAATAAATAAATAAATGTATGAATATTTTCGTTGTATAAAATTAAATATAAAATTGTATGGCTTTTTTTATTGACATACAGTGCTTTATATATAGAGATTTGAAAAACATAACTTTTCATTGGCAGTAATTGTTTAACAAATGCATTAATGAATTATGTTGTTACTGTTAGCCTTAATTTTTAAATGATTATTTGAATTCGTTTTTTTATGAAATGTTGAAAGATTATTAACTAACATCATATAAGCATTTAAAATTTCTAGGAGTATATGGCAGTGATTAGAAATAATTACATTTGAATGCCACTCCAATTATTGAATTATAAAATCATTTCGTATATTAAATATTTATTTAAATTAAATCATTAATGAATAATTAATAAACATTTTCAGAAAGAATGTAAGTTTTAATATTATGAATAAACGCTCAGAATCAAAAAAAAAAAATGAGAAATTATTTAGAATTAAAAATTTGAAAATTGTATTAATGATTTTTTTTATTACAATTTTTGTTGTTTCTATACTACAACATTAGAAATTGCATGATTATATCAAAGATATAGAATTTTATCCATCTGAAAATATCATAAAATTATTCAACATAACTAAATAATAATTAGAGCATTAAATACCCTGTACATAAATGTTTCTGATTAGAACGTTGTGGGCTTTTCAAGTAATTAGAACAGCCAAACGGCATTACGGCGTTATAATTTTCGTACTACAATCCTTTGACTTTCTTTTTTTTTTTCGTGATTTTCGTTTCGGCACAACTGGTGTACTAGGTGGTACAATAATTGATAGTTGCGTCAGAGTTGTGGCGTCTTCTTCGAAACTCAACTTGTCAACGATTTCTTCGCATACACTCGATGAGCTCTCGTCGCTTAACATGCAAACGTAAACGATATTTAATAAACAACAAGACAAAAAAATAATTAAACAACAATTTAACAAATTATAATAAAAAGTAATTTTGATTTTATATAAGGTATTTATTTAGGTAAATATCAATATGTACTTTAATTCGAATGTACCTACCCATAATCTATACCCTATAAACCGTTTAGAAATAACAAACAATTAATAGGTATAATATGCAACATAAAATAAAATATAAATTTACTTTTTAACATTTATTTAAACACCTATTGAATTTTTGAAAAAGTATCTTGCTATAACTTATATGAGTAATACATTATCTTCACAATTGTTATTCTTATCTGTGGTATTTACATTTCACCAAAATGTCGTAGTAAAACGCCATAATAATGTCAAAATTTTATACTTTGAACATGTGGAATATAAATAAAAAAGTTTTTTGGCGATATACATCACGGTAGTACGGTTGAGAAGTAAGAACCACTGGTTTAATGATATATAGTTATTAGGTACTTATTACTCATTTAGATAGTTCAATTGTTGATTAGATATGTTACTAAATACCTATTATACTAGTTAAGTAAATAAGTAGTTTAATTATATAATCAACCAAATTTAAAATTATAAAGACACTAAATTGTAAATGTTTCACGTGATGATTCACTTAGTTTACAAATAACTTATAAATATAATTTTTTTTATTTGTCCAACATTTATTGTAACTCATAATTGGTATCTAGAAAATGTATACTAAAAATTGATATTTTGGGCATTTCTTTAAATATTTAAACGATAGTACCTTCGTGATAGTATATACATATATTATCTATGTATTATATTCGTAATTTTTACCTCGAGTAATCGGATATGTCTATATTTTTTGGTTGTTCTGCGTTGGAGCCCTGTTCCATTAATCGGCTACATATTTTCAATTTCATTCTTTCCTATAATATAAAAAAATTCAATGGCAATTATTATGGTTGTTATGAAATTAATATTTAATAAATGTAAATTATAATATATTATGTGATATTCATATTTAAAAAAAAAATGTTAGCACAAACATTTCGGGGATCCTCGTTATAGTAGTCCAAAAGGGTTTCACAAAACGTCTGTCCGATATCTTCAAAGTCTTTGATGGCGAGATGAGTGTTGGCTCGAGAACCTAGGGATGAACCACAAAATGACGCTTCCATTGTGTAGCTGTTCTCGACGCCCATCAGCCACACGACTACGCGAGCCGTGTTTTCCTTTGAACGCTGAATGTTGAAATTGCAATCTTCAAATGAAAACTGAACGACGCGAATATAACACGATAAATGACGTTAGCTTAAGTATTCTTTTAGCTAAAATATGCAACTATAATGTACTTTTTCTGGGGCGTTTTTGTGCAGCAAGAGTGGAAATATTTGCTCTTGCAGTTTTCTCCCTTCATGGCCTTTTCCTTCGCATCCATACATGAAAATGTTCGACTTCCTCGAATGTGCATGCAAATCGCAAAACATCACTACTTGACGTTCTTCAATTAATCTTAAAACAAAATATTACATTCACAACACTCATACATATAGGCTAATATGTATCATAATTAATAGAAGTAGATAATGGTTTGATTATTAAATCGTTCAGGAAAAAAACACTAATCATTTAATTCAAATTTTTTTATTCGGTTGTAATAATTATTTCTTCAGTTTTTAAAATTGTTTATATTCTGAGAAAATTATAGTCATATTGTCCAAAATGAATAATCATAAAGATTTAATTATATCCAATAATAATAAACATTATATATTATTGGATATAATTTTAAAAAGTGGGTATCACCCTGCTGTAGGTGCATGTACATTAATTGTTATTAGGGTCACTGTAATCGTAATGGCTAAATTTGAATTTAATGATATTAAATCATTATATACGAAAATTTTGAACAAAGGCGGTGTGTCAGCATATATTACTACCTAAGTATTTATTTCATTATAATAATTTTATTAACTTAATTTATTTTACTTATGGTACGTTAAATTCATTTTTGTTGGAAACGTTTCATTTGACATAGTTTGAAGGTTTCAAGTACCCACGAATATTTTTGAAATGCAAAAATAATAATTAAAATCATTATTCTTTATCTTATTTCGTCCAAATTTTAACTTCAAAAATCTATTTGAAAAAAATGTGTTGATATAATTTTTTGATGTTTTGATTACAGTATAAAATAATAATAGAAACCTTGTTTTAGATTGTCAAACTAGCTCACATAATTTTACAATAAGCTTACAGTTAAGACTTTAAATAATCACTTTATGTATACATAAATATGAATTGTGTACCTATAGGTACATAAAAAGTTATAATTTATTATATTATACATAAACAATAAGTACCTGCGAAGCATAAGTTTTGTATGCCATATAACCGGATGGGCATCTCGAATAACGCTACGATATTGTCGATTTAAGTCCCGTCCATTTAATGAACATCTACTATTACCAACAACCACTCCGTCTGGGTTCAACATTGGTATCAATTTGAAAATAAAACGATTCCGTAATTCCTATAAAATATTGTATTATTTTAGACTTTTAGAGTATTGATCAAAAAGTAAATTGGTTAAGTTGGTAAAGACCCTCATCTTCTTTCAGTGGCGGTTTTTATCATTTTTTTCTGGTGCAGATGCCAAAAATATCATTCACAAAGGGTTTACCCCCTCCCCTCACCATTTTGTGTATTAAAAATGTATAAGTTAGTCACCCACTCTGCCACGACAAACCACACTCTTGATTAAGAAACCTTTATCCATGAAGACGTAAGGACATAATAAGGAGACCAAACTCACACAGCTGCCTACTCGGAAAAAACGCCCCGTCATGAGTCGGCCACAGACTACACTACGGTCGATAAGGTTGTAACTTACTTGTAACTAACTGTGGCAGAGTATAGAGATTATTCGTGTTTTTCGTGTTTTTTTGGAAAGTGTATGCATTATTTTCAACCATGGACCATCATTTAATAGCTCTTAAAATTGCGCATTCATAAATTAGCATAATATCGCATATGTGTATAATATTTACTCATATTTATAGAAACTTCTAATATTTCTAATGTTTGATTATTAAACATATTGATACTTAATATATATTATATTGATATTATAATACTAAATTAAATAATATTTTGACTTAATTAAAGATTATCATACGTTTAACATAGATATTGTGCTAAATATAACATTAGCATTCATTATAAGCCAATAATTGATGCAACTCTTGTCGTTATAATTTATATCATTTAATTAAACCCCCCTTATTTATTTTATTTTATTGTATTATACACTACTCAGTCTAGAAAGTGAGTATTCAGGATCAATTTTGGTCGTACCTGTAGCCTGGGGAAAAATAAAGAGATGTATAAAACAGAAACTTTTAACATATAAGAGTCAAATAAGTGGTTGCGTGGACAGATTTTTTTTAAAAAGTCTCTGCAATAACCAGAAAGATATAATATAAGCACAGTTGCACAAGGATATTCTTATTTTATCGTGATGTTTTCTGGAAACAAGTGTTGAGTTGATCATATACTAAATTGCAATATTTATTAGGTGATCGTTGTACTAATATACTGTTGATGGAATTGGTTGATTATGGTTCGAAAACCGGGACATTAATAACTGGAATTTAACATTTATTTATGTATTTATTTCTTACTTTTTTTCATCGCCCTTCTCTCCCAACTATTTAGGGTGGGCCATCATTGTACTATATTTCCACAGGACTCTGCCCCTATACCTCTCTTTAACTCACACCAGCTATTTTCATGACGTTCTCTATTCTGTCTATCCATCTGTTTTTTGGTTCTTTCTCTACTTCTCTTTTCTTTTAAGTTTATTTAAATAGTCACTGTCGCTGCCTTTGAATCACCGAATCACCTCTCATCACAACGTGACTGAACTATCTCAACCTATTCTCCCTCTTTTGGTCTACAATAATAATACAAAATAATAACTACACTCACAATAATAAAAAACTAATTTATTTTTCTAACATCAAAAATTACACGACCCATCTATCTTAATGTTCTCAACACCGTTACACTTTACACTTACCCTCGATTACATTTTATTTTCGACTGGCTCACATTCCGATCATACAACACAAAAAAATTAAAATAAATTAGAATTAAAATAAAATAAAATCGTAAAACATCACAACAAACCTACAATCTTACCTCAATTTTACAATCAAATATATTTATGTATTATACACATCAATTAATAGTCCATTAACTATTTAAAATAAAAAATTATGTATACACTTCGATTACCTTTGCTTGCAACGAATCGCCGGTTAAGAAATCAATAAATCCTTTCATCATCCAAGACGATGGAGTTTCGGATGGATGGACACGTGCTGTTAAGACAATTACTTTTTTTTGCTGAAGCACATGGAAAAAACAACACTTTTATACAGTTATCATAAAATATATAAATAATTATAATATACTTTTGGATCTTCTTCTTGGCAAGGCTCCGTTACAGTCAAATAATGCACATTATTGCCAGCTAATGTTCGGCACAAGACTCTGAGCTTTGTAAACACCGCTTTAACCGGATCGTCCTAAAAATATCATCCACATGTTTAAGTTTGGTCATCAAAATTTAAATTAAGTTATGGCAGTAAATGCCCTAACAGCTACTACGGCATCACCTTGAGCTTTATTAAATAGTCTTGTAAATTTGTATATGTGTATGGATAGTTGTAGGCCAGGTATACAGTATCCATATCGTGAGGAAACTCTAAGAGAAACGAAAAGATATAACGTGGATTATCCTCGCTATCGCCATTTCTGAAAATGCCAAAAACAATGACGAAATAAGACCAAAATGTACGACGTGCTTTTCAAATAATTAATAAACATTTAATAATTACGGTGCGTCGTTTCTGTAATATGCAATGTTTTCCCCACAACGTCTCCAGCCCACATTATTTTGACTTACATCCTTTGTTGAGTACAACAATGGTTTCATACCAGCAGTGAAAAGACTTTCAGACTTATACATGTTGACAATGGAAAATCTGAAATATATAATAAGCACTCATTTCGAATCAATATATTTATTTTGTTTATATTTAATATTGTGACGTGTAATTAATTCATTGCATATATTATAAAGGTTTATCGGTACCTACATGAGTATTGAGTATTAATGGGTGTACAGCTCAGAATAAACAAGAAAAAATACCCATGATCAAAAATATTCGGGGTAAATAAAGTATATCAAAGATGAAAAAGTTAGTTTAAATGTTCAGTGAAAATTACCTAGTGGAATAAAATATGACAAAAGTACAACGTTTTAGCAAAAATATAAGTTATAAGTTCCATTTTCATTAAAATATGATTTATATTTAAAATTCGATATGATAATTTCAATGTAGAATATATATTAAAATGCATTTATATTTTACTGCACTAATTACCTTGTTGCCATCGATTGGAACAAAAAAGTCTTATATTCAAATTCTTCAACAGAATAGATATTTGACAGAACAATAATAAAAACGTAATTATATAATTACAATTAGTATTAATTACCTATAACTATTTGATTATAATTTATAATTATTGGGGGCGGTACGTTATGTACAATTGGATATTTTGAGATTATTTTTGTATGCGTTGTATACAACACAAATATTACCATAGATTGCAGATATTTGAATGGTTTCCGTTTACAAGATTTACCATTGAAAATAATATTCTTATATCGATCGACTTACATCAAACACATCAGGGAGCTAAAGCAATTTACTTCAAGCTTCATTTAATGTTTAGCCCTATATTAATATAATTGTCAATAAAATATTATGTAATTTATACACATATATTATATAAATAAGCATCGCCTTAAATAATGACCGATATTTTTTCCACTGATAAAATATTTTCCGTTGTTTTTTCCTTTAAGTATATTTTTCCTGTACTTTTTATCTTTCAAATTTATTTTCTCCAGTTAATTCTTCTCAGATGTTTGTTCAATGGAATATGGAATTTCCCCTCCCCTTAATCGTTATTTTGGGGAATACTATATAATTTTGGGATGATAAAATGTGATACATTTAAGCAGTAGTTTTTCGTTAAATATCATTTTTATGATATTCAAAGATTATTTTCAGAGATGTTTTTGGCTTGCCAAGTGAAGTGACGTTAGTGTTGAATTATGCTTTGAACCATGATTGTTCATATTTTATAGATACCTAAATCGGTGCCAATACCTTAGATAGGTTTTTATAACGAACCGTTAAGTGTTTTAAATTTGCGATATTATACTATAATATAGATTGCCGTGTGTTGTGCCCCAAACACGCAAAATACTTAGTTGAGTAAAGTAAAAAGTTTGCTTTGGTGAAAAGGCAATCCGATCGTTATCGCGTAATTTGATAAAAAAAAAAGGAAATCCTATCGGTAGGTTGAATCGCTTAAGGCAAACTTAACTTATAACAGCAACTTACAGTTTTACATATAGACTTACAAAAAAAGGGACCTTGTTTTTTCTAACGAAGGATTCAAAAATAGATTCTAATTTTCTTGAATTTATACTTTTTTTAAATAATAAATAACCTAGAGTCTAAAGAAAAGTCGACTCGACAAAGTTAAGAGAGGAGTTAGACTTACGCCTTTGTCTCAGTAGCATTGAACCTAATATGAATAACTGCTCTGGCCAGGGTATCTCTAACCATCTCACTAATCAAAATTAAATTATTTTTGTCACTTTTTGTAATTTTTAAATAAGCAACATAATCTATTCAAATATATATTAAAAAATTACAACAAAATAATCTCTATAGTAGTTTATTGAGCACATTAAATGAAAATATATGTATCATACAAGTCTAGGTACAACAGAACTGTATAAATCCAGTTTTCAAAAATATATTTATTTATCGTTAAATTCTGTGTATATTGCATAAATGAAAATTTTAAAAATTGGTACTTTAACATAATATATTTAGTATATAGTATGTCTCAAATATTTTAACAAAGTATTGTACTTACCTATATTTAATGTTTTTTTTTGTGTTTTCTATTCTAAAATAAAACCATTGGGTGTGCCGATTGGTATACATATCCGATCTTAGCGATAATTCATAATACGTACTGGTTATTTTGACAACTTTGGCTAGGTTACCGGATTCAAAACGTGATTCAAAAATCAAGTCAGAAGTGTCTTGGCTACTATGTGCTTGAGTACACGCACTACCACCAACGGCTGAACGACAAAACTGCAAATTGCAAGAAGTCAGTCAATGAACTTGTATTGGAAAAAAGACACTACGAGTAACATCGAATACAAATTTTGAACTCACATAGTTCACGCTGCTGATAGGATAATATTTAAAAATTACTTCACCCGAATCTTCGCCTACTTGTTTCGGTTGTATTTCTCTGCCTGTAAACTTGTAAAGAGGCTCTTTTTCTGAATAAGATGCAGACGTCGGGTGAACGTGAATAACGGGTTCGTCTATAACCTAAACAGATGTTATTAAGTTCAGTTTTAAAAATCACTTAAAATAAAAGGAATTTTAATAATAATAATGTACCTACACTAATAATTAAACTTAGATGATGATTCGGCATTAAATCGGGCAGACTTTTTATTAACAATTAAATATATCTAGGTATATCTAAATATGTTAGGTAGGTATACAAGGTATACTATTATAGGTATGCTTATATACTTAGTATAATTTATATCAAAAAGTAAATATTTGTAAAATATTTTTTTTTTAATTTTGTAGCATTAAAATGTATCAATGAAATTAATTTGTTTTGAATAGATTATGTAGCTTTAACATAGGTAAAATGGAAAATGTACCAAAGTATAGCCAGCATAGGTTACTATAGATTAGAATTTACTTATAATCATGCGATAATGGTCATTGAACTTGCAGTGCTTGGTGGGAATTTAATTTATAATATATTCTATAGTTATTGTTCTCACTTGGCACTCCATTGGCCATCTTGCAGCTTGGTAAGGACAATCTACTTCTTTCATCAACGGAAAAACTTCTTTGACGTCTCGTAATTTAGTATCTAACTGCCTTGTGTCGCCGTCTGCGTTTATGTCCACCTGACTGTTTCTTAATGTACGATTCAGTAAATTGTTTAAAAACGACCCTTTAAAATCAAAATCCACGTGTCATAAAAACCGAAATGTCACAATAATATTGTCTGTATTTTTATTTAAATGTTTTATAATCTATTTTGTTTTTGTGATTAAAATAAATAAAATGACCAGCCGTTGAATCGTCACCAGCGGTTGTAAATAATAATTAAAAACTAATTATTTTAATAAAAGTTACTAAAATCTATTTTGTACAATGAATTTAATATTTTTTAATGTAAATATTTGTTTGATCAACTTATATAATACCGGTTGTGCACCTATATCCAGTATGGCAATATTTTCAAGCTTATAATAATATATTGTAGGTTGCGAATAAATCGTATTTAAAATTGTTATAAACTCATATGGAAAACGTATTTTATACACTAACATTAATTTCAAAAGTTTATCAAACGATTAATGCTTCTTCTTATCACTGTATTAATACTGAAAAGTAAATGTTCGACGACATTCGAGACATCGAAATTCGTTTAAAATACGACAGTTATATAGTTGTTATAATATATTATTATGTATTTATTATTATTACTCGACGTGGCATAATACATAAGAAACTCAGACGAATAATATTATATAGATATAGGTTCTTTAAGTATGTATATTAGTTTATTCGTAAATTGATTCCGTTTTAATACTGAAATATGAATATTAAAACAATGGCATTTTGGCATGTAACATGAGCCATTAATCAAAAACATAACATATTGTACACGATGATAGCGTCATACCTATAATATAAATTGATTGAGTTTGAGAAGATACTGCACAACATTTTATCGTATGATGTCACGAACTCAAGAAACAAACATTAAGTAGGTATGTGTACCATTACGGTATAGGTGCATATTATATTATAACGACGTTAGGATCAAATTTTTATTGTACCTACATGTACAATGCGGCGTTTGTTAACGATTTATTAATAGTTTAAATGCAAATTAAGTAGAATGTAAAATATTATATTACCAGCATAATACGTATTGCGATCCTATCACTGAACGAAACGATGAGTATAAATTGTAGTGTAGTCTTTCAGGTAGACTGTATAATTATTATTACCTATCAACATTATATAATAAAAATATATCTATTTTATTACTACTTGCGCGCGTATAGGTAGGTAGTTAATGAATATTTTGTCAATACATTCGAGGCTATATATATATAGATCATTTATTTCATTATTTGTTAAAGTACCTATATATACCTACATAAGTGAAATTCACATAAATACAGTGTAGGCATACAAAGTAGACAGGTACCTACCTACCCAAATGCGTAACGTCCTGCCGAGGATTCTTTTAAATGTTGAATTTTGACGTATAAAAACGAACTTCTAACTTTAATGTTAAAATATGAGATGAGGAGCATTCCTACGATGTAACGAAAATATAACATAATTATATATAAGTAACGCGAATGGTTCAAAAAACGTTTTACGAGAGAGTAATATTATCGTAATACTATATCGTCAGTACTCATCGATTGCACAGACACACGTGCGCTCGGAAACATCATTGTCATTATTATTATTATTATTATTATTATTAACACGAAGCATATTATTATTACTGAAAACAAAAATAATGTTTGTACCTTTCGTACAAATCGGGAATAGCGACGCTTGCAAGTCTCTGACCTGTGACATGTTAACGTCCGCGTTGGCCCCATCCATGGTTTAAACTCGCGACACACCGCGCTTTCACCAACATTCGTCCGGTTACTACGGTGACACCGGTATATATACTGTGTCCAATCGATAATATTATTATTATATATTATACCTCTGCGCTTGCAATTCGGTATAAGCAGTAACAAACTATAATCACAACAGTACAATATTATATTCGTGTTTACTGTGTTTAGTACATAATATTATGTATAGGTATAATCTACGTAATAAATACGTATATGCGTGTATATAAATATAATATAATATACATATATATATCCGTGTTATGATAAATACACGTGCAATGCGTGTATCTTACTATAGTAACTACTAAATTGTACAACCCTTTTTCACAAATTCAGTCTTACGTATAACGCACTCAGACGCTTAATAGATATACCTACATAGGTACCCCTAATCCCCAATACCGTGCTCCAGACCGGCGTCCAAATTATCCACAGAATTGCGTCATAGTTGTAGCCTGTAGGTATTATTTGTTATAAACAAACCTTGAAAAAATAAACAGTAAAAAAAACTATCATCGACCAGCTTTTGGTTTACATAATAAGATTTAACGACCGTATTTACATATACGCAGAAGATATAGACGTCAATGCTGCAGTCATTGTAATTTATACATACCAACTATAATGACTATAATAATAATTAAATTAACAATAATAATAATTATTATTATTATAATGATGTTTTCATTTTATCCTTTTAACATTTGGTCACCAAATATTTGCTCTTAAATAGTTAAATACGACAAAATACAGACACATTTTACTGAAATTCCAAGACTTGAAGGCACAAGACGATGCTACTAAACAGTAAACATCATAATTTATAGTATTAAAATGTTTATGTCAGTGCTGAGTTTTTATGAAGCAACCGTTTACATTAATTTACTGGATAAAATACTTTTAATTATAAATCGTGTCTATGCTCGAGTGTGTCAATAAGTAATAATTATTGGTTATCATTCAACCATCCTTCGTCAATATGCCTACTGTATATTATATTATACTAAACTATACTCTAAACTGCAAAATAGATATATGGTTACATTCAACATTCAAATTACTTTATAACATATAAATATCAATGTAGGTACACATTGTACTTTATAATTCGAGATTTAAATATAAAATGCATTACTTTTTAGGTTTTCTAGGACAATGAATTCCAAATACATAATGTGTTTCACGTAATAGATACTGATAATAAATAACTGTTGGTGCAACTTTAAATTTTCCGCTGTTTTCCATTTTGGATCGTTCTTTACTTTTTTTTGTAATTCTATAAATTTTAAGTGTGTATTACTTTTTGTTGTACTAGCTTTTAGTATCAATTTAAAAAATTCAAACTATTGGGTGTATCAAAAAAATATTATTTTCATAAATACTTAAATAGTTTTTAAGTATTTTTCATCCGTACTAAATGGCAATCGTTCTGTTTATGAATGTCATAAAGTCTTTATCTACAGTGTTTATCGAATATTACGGTGTCTTACTCAAACAAATAACAACTAATAAGTAATTGGTAGGTTGTAGTTATATTAGGATCTTATTGTTTTTTCGAGTACTTGCTGTACTGTTTATTTATTGTGCGTGCCTAAGCCCGAAATGTGTTATTGTATTAACTATATTATTAATTTAGATAAAATAAAGTAGTGTTAAAAATTACAAAAGTTAAGAACTCGTTTTCCTCTCGAACGAGTGCTGATCAACAAAATGTGGGTAATTCTTAAGGGCGGTATTGTGTTGAAAAGGCATTTTTGATTATTTTTGAAGCAATTTTGATAATTTTTAGGACATTTAAATCTACACCATAATTATAATATAGGCGTCAACATACCTACTGTAGTACTCATAGTCGTAACTTTAGTTTTTGACTTGGAGTGGCTTTACATATATTCAACTGAACAGACCCTCGGGTGGCTAAAACCCCCACAACTCCACCCTCAATTCAAATTTTAAAATATATTACTTTATGTAATATTATATAACATAATATATTCATCATTTTTTTTCTCACCCACTTTTCTGCTTTAATATATATTTCTTATACATCAACCTATTACTAAAAAAAAAAAAATATGATTACTAAAACAAATTACAACATGTATATTATACATATATATATATACCTATTATAATTGTAACTGTCGATTCAAAATTGCACATTTATAAAAAAAAAACTACTATTATCAAGTATATTCTAGACTAATTGAAATGTTATCACTAATGAGTCATGTATCGAAATTACTAATTTGTAATATTATTGTCTATTATTAAACCAAAAATATGTTCTTCGGATGAATCCGATATCTACTAGGTAGGTATGTAAAACACTTAAACACGAAAATAATGAATCATTATTCATAAACTTTCAAAGTAATTCTTCTTCAATAATTTCAAACAACGTTTACTGTATTATGTAGTCATATAGACTAGATAATTATTAAAAGATTTAATACTTCAATTAAAATATAAATTTTTGTAGGGGCTAAGACTCCCTCCAAGTTTCGCCTCTGTATTAAGAACTTATACAATTGTTTCGAAATAACATTTATATTAATTTTCACATGTAGTTCTACACTTCTACATACTATTTTATAATTTTTAGTTGTTTATCAGATATGAGTTTATACTTTAATTAGGTCATATAAACGTTGAAGTTAATGAAATTATAATACCTAACTACATGATGAAATCTACTATCTAGCATACCACGAGCACATGTTTCAAATATATGCCTATATGCACATTAAATAATATTATAATCAAATGTCGATTGATTAAGACAATATAAACTATAAAGTATAACTATAATAGTTTAGTTACTGCAAGAATATATTTATTTAAAATACATTTGTGACAAATAATATAATATTTACTAAAGACACGCACTAATGAATTGTTTTCTATATATTATTAGTTTCTGCCAACACAAATAAGTATAAATCTACTGTCTACTTCCATGCTATATAGTTACTACTATTCTCTAACTTAGTAACTATCACTTATAACTTATAAGTATATACATATAAGTACCTATTAAGTTAAGTACAAACACGCAATCATACGATTTTACAATTATTACTGATTAATAAATCATCAATGTACATTTTTATCATCAACAGAATCATAATTACGAGTTTGAATTAATTTTAAAGATAACAATCCATTTATGTTAATATAGGAAGTATCATAATTCTAGTAAATGTTTTGGAAATTATTTATAAATGCTAACTAAGTCTTAGATTATTTTAATGCAATATTATTCACATTAGATACTTTAGTACCTGTAAGTATCTATTCGTTTTAACTGAGAAAATGGGTTTTAAATAAATGCTTATTACTTATAGGTATTTACTATTTAGCAATAAATTTACTAGCATATGCCTAAATCGAGTATCCACTATTGATTTTGTTTTCTATAGAATCAATTGTATCTAATGTGTATCAAGTTGAAAAAGTTTAATTAATATTAGTATTATAACAGTCAGCCTTTTAAATATATATAGGCATTAAAATAATTATGATTGATATCAAAAACAACTTATACCCTAAACGTATTGATCGGATACTTATCAGTTTTCAAAGTAGGTACCCTTGCTCAATGTTCGTACAATGTACGTACTTTTCCCGTTTCTCCAGTTCACAAAGTACCTACAAAAAAAAATCACCGAACTCGCTTTGCTGTGATATAGGTGTCGAGTATACCTCGTCATTTAGTAGGTTACTAATTACAGTAGATGTGTTAAATTTGAATAAAATAATAAATCATTGCATACAAAAAACAATTCTAAAAGAAGGCGGCTTCAGCCTATAATTTAAAGAATATATTTTATTATATAAGTAGTAGGTATATTCATTATTCGTGTTATGTCACACATCTCGAACTACATTGAAATTCCTTTGAAACTACCATTACACTCAATAACATTAAGTTCTAGATAACTCGATATAAAAATAATCATTTTTCGTTATCTTGAAAAAATAATTGAAGATTAGTCGATAATATCGGTAACAGGTAATGAATCATTTTCTAGTTTTCTATAAACATATTCGCAACAATGAGAATGTCTGATGAAGCTTGGAGAAGTGTTACACCACGAATATATTAAATTGCTTCAAAAGGGATTTCATAGATGCTAATGTAATTCAAATAGATAAGTAGGTAACTCAAGTGTCAAGTCTCAAATATTTCTGCTATTCGATACGATGATAAATGGAACTTTGTTGAATATCTTCGTTTTTTTAGCATTAGTGTTCTAAGTTTTTAAATTTATGTATTATAAGCATCAAAATTAATAATAACTAGTTATAACTAATTTTATACATTTTTAATGAAGCTCATGTCTTGTATTTTTCAATATCTCGAACTTTTTCCTGTTCCCCTTGAGATTTGACATAACGAGAGTTTACTTTATTCTGTATACGTATTTATACCTAGTAATATTTAAGTAATAATTTTTATTTTCCATTCATAATATAATAAATTGGATTCATTTTGCCAGAAATAAATCGTACGTATGATAATTATTAAAAACTGGATTTGCATACAACTGCATAATTATTATAAATATCCACTATCAGGTATAAAGGTAGAAATATGCAAGAATAATACGAACTACCAATGGTATATATACAATTTAATTATTTTTATTTAATATTTAATTATTATAACTGTAATTATAACATTAATTGAAACATCAAACAAACAAAATAAAAACATTTTAAACAGCATTAAAGCAAAAATATTATATTCCTATACTAGAAGTTACAAGAACCTAATTCTTGTTAGAAAAACAACTTACAATAATATTTACATATTATACTTAAACTTATTACAAAAAAGTTTATATTAATTAGGAAAACTACAAGTCTACAAGTTACTACAAGTTATTACTTTCTGGTGAATAAATTTACACTGGAAAATCGTAAAAATTATAATGTTCTCTCCTTAAATTATTTTAGAAATGTATTACAACA